GTGGCTTTTTAGACATTTTCTCAGACACCCTCAGCACAATATAATTAACGATATTTGATATGATCAATTATTATGGTTGATTGCACAGTCAGCCAGATGTTTAGATTGAATTTGGCATTTTTATCCATCTATTGAGTCCTTCCCAAGAAGAGACAGATGTCTGATGGTTTTAAAGGTATCATTGTAGGATGTAAGCTGTTCCAAATAGTGCAACTATCATACATACATGTCGGTTGCCAAGTACCCAAATTGTGGTTACAGGGACACTGATAGATGTTAAGTGTGAAAATGGTTCTAAGTCATAACTGGTTGTTAATAAATAGTCATAAAGTGAAGGTTACTTGTAACTGCATTCGTCTCTATTAACTTTCATTGCATTACCTTTAATCCATCAAGATCAGTTTGAATGTTTGAATGTTACATCCATCTTCTAGATTGCTTACCTACCTCACCCATATTAGTCATTAGTCATCAGTTACTTGGTAAGATACAGTCCGGTTTTTTGGCCAAGAGATTCACAAGAATTTTCAAGAATGTTCTTTTGTCTTGCCAGATATCAGGCAAAGAAAACATATGAGAATCCAGTGGATTTACTTCCAGAGCCGAAGTGGATAATCTTGGGTTACAGTGATATCACTGAGCTTCTGAAAAGTGCCATGGAAAAATTGAGAGGTAAAAAACAGCCACTGGGGTTGTACGCTGGATGACATTTTGATCCCAGAGCATCCAAGAGAGATTCTGGGCCAGTGTCACATGGATCAAGGAGGGATCGATGTCAGGATCAGTGGAAGAGACGCCTTCATTTCTCTGGGGAAAGGCCTTGTGTCTTGGCACCAGGAGGGGGAACAGGAGCTTTCTGCTTTCTCTCATTAGAAGAGGCGTTTGACCTAAAAATGGGAACCATTAGTCATAGTTGACCCATTACAGGTAGTCCTCGACTTACAACAGTTCATTTAGTGACTGTTCAATGTTAGAAAAAAGTGACATGACCATTTTTCACACTTACGACCGTTGTAGAATCTTCACAGTCATGTGATTTACATTCGGATGCTTGACAACTGACTTTATGACGGTTGCAGTGTCCCATGGTCATGTGATCACCTTCTGTGACATTCTGGAAACTAATCAAGGAGAGAAGCAACCTAGAACTAAGGAGAGACTTCCTGACAGTTGAACAATTAACCAGTGGAACAACCTGCCTCCAGAAGTGGTGAATGCTCCAACACTGGAAGTTTTTAAGAAGAGACTGGACAGCCATTTGTCCGAAATGGTATAGGGTTTCCTGCCTGAGCAGGGGGTTGGACTAGATGACCTCAAGGTCCCTTTCATCATCATTATTATTATTATTATTATTATCATCATCATCATCATCATCATTATATTCTGACAAGCAAAGTCAATGGGGAAGCGAGATTCACTTAATCATGTTACTAGTTTAACAAATGCAGTGATTCACTTAACAAATGTTGCAAGAAAAGCCGTAAAATGGGGCAAAACTCACTTAACAAATTTTTCACTTAGCAACATAAGTTCTGGGCTCAATTGTGGATGTAAGTCAAGGGCTACCTGTATTCTTTATTTCCCAGATCCCATGACCACTGGGGAAGCAGAATAAGCTTCCACTAAATATAATGGAATATATAGAGGTAGTCCTTGACTAACAACCACAGCTGAGCCCAAAATTTCATTTGCTAAGCAAAGCAGTTGTTAAGTGAGTCATGCCCCTTTTAATGACCTTTTTGCCATGGTTGTTAAGCTAATCTGGCTTCCCCTATTGACTTTGCTTGTCAGAAGCTCCCTAGGAAGTTTGCAAGATCAGTTTGAATGTTTGAATGTTACGACAGTCACAGAGCCCTGGGATGCTGCAACCCTTGTCAATACACGCCGATTGCCAAGTTCCCAAATTTTGATCTATAGTGCTCATAAGTCTGAGAACCGGTCATAGGTCACTTTTTGAATGCCGCTGTAACTTTGAACAGTCACTAAGTGGTTGTAAGTTGAGGACTACCTATATATGGAATATATTATAATAGAATATATTTATATCTGGTAGAATATATACAGTTACCAATGACATCCTGGCTGGTAGCTTATTCCTTATTCCTTATTTCCTGATTTGAGTCGGAGGAAGGAAAATCAAGGTATCTGTAGGGAGGCCCTTCTGTTGCTCCATTTCCAGTGATGAGATGCTGAATCCCTCCCTTTTCTTCCCCAGATACTCTGGAAAGTGGACTGCAATAATAACTGCAATGATTCACTTAACAAATTTGGCACGAAAAGTTGTAAAATGGGGGGGCGGGGAACTAACAACAAATTTCTCACATAGCAACATAAATTCTGGGCTCAATACTGGTTGTAAGTTGAGGACTACCTGTATATGGAATATATAGTAGAATATATTTATATCTGGTGGAATATACATAAACAGCTATGCCATTCTGGCTTGTGGCATTCCTTATTCCTTGTTTCCTGATTTGAGTCGAAGGAAGGGAAACCAGGGTATCTGTAGGGAGGCCCTTATGTTGCTCCATTTCCAGTGATGAAATGCTGAATCCCTCCCTTTTCTTCCCCAGATACTCTGGAAAGTGGACTGCAATACAGAAAGGTAAATATGAGTTATAAGAATCTCTTATATCGCTTGCTATTTTAAGCTCTGATGCTAGTAGCTTTAAGAGAAAGAAAATAGAGTAACAAAAAAGAAAAGTATAGGATTAGGTACCTTAAAGACTATAATGATCCAGTAAACTTTAATGATTTTATGATTTATGACCTGTTACTTGGTGTTTATATGTTCACTGTGAGTTTATGCACTGGAGACAGATTCCTTCTGTGTGTCTGATCACGCTTGGCCAATAAAGAATTCTATTCTATTCTATTCTATTCTATTCTATTCTATTCTATTCTATTCTATTCTATTCTATTCTATTCTATTCTATTTTATTCTAGAATAGAATAGAATAGAATAGAATAGAATAGAATAGAA